CATTAAGCGTGAAGTTACAATGTTCTAAACTTAAAAGCACGCCATCTATCACGTTCATCCCAGACTTTTCATTAAATGAAAAACCATGGAACAATATAAAAGCTATAATAAAATAACCCTCTCACTTATCTGTGCCTTCACCCTCAGTTACAGTTCATAAACCACCCGCTAGATGGCATTGCAACTTAAGTCATTGCGAGGGTCGCAACGCTGAAGTTATAACATACAACTAGCGACATCTGTGTTATTTTTCCAGAACTACCAACAAGACGCTTTTTGAATCACCATTGTAGTCTTTACGTGCTAGGTAAAGACTACAATGGATGTTTTATTGAGATATACACCCTTCGATCAACAATAGCAACTAGATAAAGGGTTACGTACAAAATCAAGCTCCAGTTTTGTCCGTGTGAATAATAATAGTAAAAAAATAACAAACAGAGATAAATGTTTTAAAATAGTTTTAAGTTCAACCTAATAACAACCATGGCACCTAATAATAAAGTCATAAATCGTCAAAATATTATCTAATACTTAGGACCATTCGTTACATAAGACAAGAAAAGTATTTTCTTACTCCTGTCATGTAGTAATTAAAAGACATAAGTTAAACAATATCTAGTTTGAATTCAACCTTAAGGTCGAACAAATAAAGATAATTTTTTTCCATTATTGTCTTGCGATCTATATCGTTTTGTTTTGTTTCGTTTTGCTTCTTCAAATTTCGAATTTCGCTACAGGAGGTATGTATGGAGTCGCGTTGGACACTAAAATAATTTTATAATATGAAAATTAAGATTTCGGGATCTTAGTATACATCACTAATTTTTATTAGCGGTACGTTTTTGTGTATGATATGTTTATTTACTTTATCATTAAAAGTCTAAGTCTAAGTCAAAATCATTTATTTCAGTTATACCAGGAAGGCACTTTTGAACGTCAACAATATAAATTTAAAAGTGAAGCTATTTGCTCATTCCAAGGTGTAGATTCCTATGGAGAAGAATGAGCAAGAAACAATACAATTTTATTTTTTCAATACAAATCGACTCCATGCATCCACTGTTCTGTTTATACAAATGTTGGCGAGACTTGGCCAAGGAATCGCCAACACACGCACAAACATTGGTGGCGTTGGTTTATAATTGATAATTTTGTCTAATTTGATATTATTTACTAGTTTAAAAGCTTAAAATATAACTTATACTTTATGTACTTATCAAAAGTAAGACACTCCGGCCGTTATACTGCTTTTTCGGTTGTTATTTTTGCATTTTTTTTTTACTTGTGAGACGTGAGTACATTGGCCGTGTTTGGAGCATACTAAACAAAATAAGAGCTCACTTTTCAAGTGAGCTCTTATTTGTCGAGACGATTTTCTTGCGCCGACCCGATATCTAGTTGTTATTGTTGATCGAAGTATACACCCAATTACAAAAATGCCACCCAATCTCAGTTTGTATTATCTATACTTCACTTGTTTCACTAAATACCTAGGTAATAATAGTATTAAAATTAAACGGTGATTGGGTATTACTAGGATAGATAAAAAGTACTGGGTAAACGTAAATTTTGTATCTCGTTTTTTTTTTCAAAAAATAAAATGTTGCCCCGCAATTTTTGTCCTTTGCCGTGAGTGCGTTTATAAACATACAAGTTCAAATACACATGACACCTAGACTTGGATCAATCTATGGATCCCACAAATAGTAGTTCGGTGCGGGAATCGAACCCGCGACACGTTATAACTTACTCAAATACTTATCAACCGTTATCAATTCCCAGAATAACTTTTATTTATCTTAGATCGCTGCCTCATTGGCCAAGTGGACGCAAATGCGACTACCGGGCAAGGGGTCTCGAGTTCGATTTCCGGGTTGGGCAAATTATTACTCAGTACTCACAGAGTCTGGAAATGTGCCCGGTATATGGCAATCCCTATTACATGGGACTCATAACATAAATAGTGAAAAGTGGGTGTTACATTGTACAGTGGCATTAAGTGCCGTAATGTGCACCTCTACCTACCACTTTGGGGATAAAGGGCGTGATATTATGTTATGCTGAATCATATACCCATAGGTTACAAATCCCAATAAAACACACCCTCCGCAAATCACTTTAAATTTATTTTATAAAAGTAACTCCAAATAAAATATTAAAATCATGAATGCGAACAAAATTCATTTTACACATACATAATAATAATATGTAATAATAATTACGTTTTCACTTATGTACTACTTTATATATCTCAAATTCTTAGCTTTTGAACTAGCCTACATAGAAATCATAGTAATTTCATTCATAATATCAATTTACGCGGATATTCCGTCTTTTGGCGACTAGTTGTACGAGTTAAAAGACATTTCGATTTTAATGAAATCTTTTTCTAATAAATAAGTAACAATTTCAGAATCTTTAACCCCAGTGTTAGCCCCGGGTATGGAACTTAGAACGTCGTTCTCGATTGACAACACCTTTGTTAGACTTCCAACTTTATCATTTCGTAATAAAGTTAAAAGTCTATTACCGACATTACCCCTAAAAGTCCATCAACGCTCTTGTAACGGCTCTGGCGTTTCGTGTGTCCATGGGCGGCGCCGATTGCTTACCATCAGGTGACCCAACTGTTGGTTTGTCGATAAAAGATAGTATAAAAAAGGTATATAACAACTCCATTATTATACTAAATAGACCTTCGGAGCCACGGATGACTTAACGGGTTAAAAAGTAAATTATAGCTTTTCTAGAGAACTTTGTATTTATCTGTCTTGTAATTCGTAAAACTAGTCGTATTCAGTTATACTCTTCATAATTAGTTTCATCATTTGGCACGTTACATTTCGTTTGTCTCGCGGACGGCTCTAACACACAAACTAATATAATATTGTAAGTCCCTCTTAACTGCAGTATATGTGGTTATTATAATATGGTAATACAAAATAACTATATTGTATTATAATCTCGATACTTCTTTTAAAATATTGCAACGAATAGAAAATAGAACGCAAACTAGTTTGTATTCTCGCCACTGGTGGCGCTGTCTTTATTTCATGTTGTCTATAGTTGTATTGAGCTACGTCTGTGGTCATAATTGTTTTTCTCTGCACATTATTAATACTGTTTGATAAGAACTTTATTTCCCAAAATAAAAACTTATTAGTAAATCATTATTCTCAGTTTTAATCAAAATCACATATCAGTACTGAAAAATAAATCTTATGTTGGAGAAATAAGTCGTACTATGTTTAATGCTTTATCTTTTGAGTATTATTTATACATAAAAAATATATAACTTGCAAGACCAAGAAAATTCACTTTTATATACCTATTCATTCGATTGTATTACACAAAATTTATGTGTCGTAAGATATAGATAGTATGATACAATAGAACTTTAAATATACTTTCGTGAAAACCGCATTACTGCAATCAATAGACACCTTCATATAAAAACAAAAACATTATATAATTATAGTAATAATTAATTTTATCTATAAATCCTATCACAACTTCCAAAAACAATTTAGAAAACTGAGCAAAACTAACTTTATCCTAACAACTAACAAATAATAATGTTTTATTATTAGTAATATAATAATAATAATTGTTATTAATATATAATAAACTATATAAATACAAATGAAAAGAGCTTTTAATACTGAATCTCAATTCCTTAATTTATCAATATTTTATAACGATAAGAATCTTATTCTAATTAGTAGCGAAAATTGGTGTAAATGTGGAATTTTAATGTTGACAGAACATCACAAATTATAGATTAACCACTTATAAGAATTAAATCACCACTTTTGTGGCTTAACCCGTTGAAAATTGTTGAAAATCATCCCCTAAATTTATTCATACAAAAGTAGTCTCTAAACATTGAAAATAAAGTCTATAATGTAGTTAGTGGAGAGAGGTTACCGGTGACCTCTTGGAGATATGTGGGTTAAGATATATTTTAAAATATTTCTCTGCGTACACATTTTTCTATGAAAACATCAAATCTCTTCTGGGTGCTGAAAATAAATATTTAAACAGGATTCATTGAACTTAACTTTCATCAAAATATTACTCACATAACCCGCTACATTATCTATATCTAAATAAAAATCAATAACAAACAACGAACAAACACAAATTCATAGCAACAAATACGAACTAAAATAGAAATTGTGCGTAATACTCCACCAATATACTGGATAACAGTAACTCATGGTCAAACCACACCGCGGAGGACTTAACGGGTTGCCAGGGCTCCGGCTCGAAGTGCAGGCGTAGGAACGGGGTGGTTTTTAGTCAGTAAGAGTCTCACACTCCCTCTCGCCTAACCCAAGGAGGGAGAAGTCATTCAATGAATTTCTCTCCTTAAAAACAAAATGAATACAATCACTTCTATATGGCAAAACAATACTTATATTGTAAAACATTCTGTCAACATTCCTTCCACGATCTCTTACGCTATACATACAACTATTTGGCCACAACGATGAAGAACAAAAACATACGGAATTATAATGGAAATCACTTTCCTATAGCAAATATCCATGGTTGAATGTCAAAGAGATATTACTATCCTGAACAGCTGTTATAATTACCACTGAAAACCATTAACTTCGCAGTTCTTGTTCAGACCATTTTAGTTAAAGAACTATCCTGAATAACATACAGGAGACAAACGTGAAACAACACTTGCGATGTATTTCGTCGCGTAAGTGCGGTTACCCCCTATCTCCCCCACAACTCCCTAATCCCTGAAACCCCAACAACCCTCAAATTCCTAATCCCCAAAAGGCCGGTAACGCACTTGTAACACCTCTGGTGTTTCGTGTGTCCATGGGCGACGCCGATTGCTTGCCATCAGGTAATCCGCCTGCCCGTTTACCGGCTTGTTTCATAAAAAATACACTAAATGAAAACAGAGAAAAAAACCTACATTTAAAAAAATGTGAATGTTAAAATAATTACTATGTTCATCGGCTTTTTCCCGTAACTGTTCGACGAGGAGCTCGACTAGTTTAAAGTTCGAGGCTTATATTCATGAGCCGCATTCGGTAACACGACACGGCGAATGTTGCACTGTTAAATACACATAAGATAAACCTAAAATAATTAATATAGTGTGTTTCACTAAGGGTATAAAACGAAATAATAATGATCTGTAACATTCAACCATCAATATTTATACCTGATCACTTTGTTTCATACCTATCCTACAGACACTAGGATACTTAGATGACACGATTATCTGAAGAACCTTCATCATCAATTCATACTATAAATCCGATATCAAAACCTACTGGTACCGACACATTCTCAAAGAAGAAATAAGAAGCGATACTAATGTGGATATCCAATTCATAGTACGAATAGAGAGAGAAATACCAGCTTGACCACCTCTAAGCTCAAAGTCAAAAGCATTTATTTAAATTAAACCATAATTTGGTACTTTTGAAACGTCAACAAATATAAAATGAATAATAGTCTGTCAATCAGTCCGTCAGTGAAGCTAGACAAATAACAATTCTTGTCAAATCACAGCTTAAATCGTTTTGAAGTGGAATTCTGTAATCTATAAGTTTAAGTTTGACCATTACCCAACTTGATCTGACCTTGGTATATGATTAATCATTGATGGCAACTCTATCAAAAGCTTTTCTCAAATCTATGCATTGTTTGCAATACAACGTTTCGTTCATGAGATAAGTTATTTTTTACAATCATTTATTTTTATCACCTGATTTAGTTTTAGATCGTTCAACACATTGTTATATAGCTCAACAAACCACATCAACTAAGTATCCTAATAGAAATCTAATTTACAAATTCACCTACAGAGCAACACACAGAGCGGTCAAGGGCTACTAGTGGCTGAACCTGAACTGAAACAACGAGGTGACTGGAAGCTTACGACTACTTCAATAGATTTTACAAAATTATTTACTAAATAGTGTGGTGACAGGGAGAAAGTGACCCAATCCAAAGGAAATCTAGAAATAGATAAAGGTAAGAAAACGAACGATTTAGATAAATATGGAAAATAGTTTCGAAAATCAAATAGACTTCGTATATCACAAATTGGTATACCTGAATATCACATTAAGTTTCAATCTCTACTTGTATTCTACCAAGTAACCACTAACACGATATTATACTCCTCCACTGTACTCTCTCCCTGGCACCACACCTCATCACATCAAAAACCAACCTCGAACATACTATATACATAAAAACGAGCGCTGAATTAACTCGTGCCGTCAGACTTGCTGGATTCACTCTCCTCTGTGATCGTGATCATTGGAGGCGAGTCGTATGCGCCATCCCCTGGCGACGTTTCATTCATCAACTTCTCAAACTTCGGAGATCCCGAAGGTAGAATCACGTCTCGAACAGATTCGTACATATCTGTCCTTATAATTGGCAATGATCCTCTTTTACCCTTCAATACATCTTTCCCAGGAGCATCATCTTCCTTTATAGTTTCCATGGGTACCTTCTCCGGTTCTCCTTCTTCTAACCGCACAGGAAGACTATCAGCTCGATTCAATGACTTGGAACCCTCGATTTTCTCTGCCACAGGAACTGCTACACCGTTTTCTAATTTTTTCTGATCATGAAGATGTTGTAAGCTGTATTCTCTCGCTTGAACATCTGATAATAGAGGTCCGTCAGTGGAGCCTTCGATGCAGTACCCTGGGCCTTGTAGTGCGTCGCTACCTATGATGGAATCTTGCTTGAATATTGCTGCAGTTACCACTGGCTTATCAGGGTCTGTCGGGGTTTTGGTAATCAAAGGTTCTTGGGAGTTGTCGTTTACTATTCCCTCTGGTACATCGTCTTTAGATATATCATAGCCAGCGTATACTGGGTACCCGAAAGGTCCTTGCTCATAGCCCAACTGGCTACTATAAGAATAGCTGACGTTATGAGAACCGATTGATGACATGCTGAGGTCGGAAATGGAGAGACCGGTACTAGATAGCGCAAGTGCTTTGTCCTTTTCATACTTCGTACTACTCCTTTCACTGTCTTCTTCTATCTTCTTCTCTAGTTCTTCAGGAACGCGGTGTATAAGAGCCTGATTGGTTGAGATTTGAGGATCCTGGGGTGGAGAGTTTGGGACAGTTTTGCTGGGTCTGTAAGCTGCAGACTGTTGCACCTCGACGACGAAGATGCCGTCGTTGTCAGGAGAATATTTCATTTTAGTTTCTCGACCATTTTTTGTAATGTCCTGGAAGGTGAAGAATATATTCGTCAGTAATTGTAATTACAGTGAGCACAGAACATTTTACGATAGGTAGAAAAATGTATATTTTCTCTATTTAATTATTTCTTGACTGCCGTAAAAATTGTAATGCTTGTTCAAAGGAAGAATATTCAGTTACATTAGATTAATTGATCAATGGATACAAAAGCATTGATAAAATTATGAAATATTATCCAAACTTACATTTCTCTCCTCAGTTTCCACGATAAGGTGGTTGTTCTTCAAGGTCATGGTGAAGATGGAACCGTTAGCAGCCGGAGTCTCCCCACCATCAGTGCCGGTGCTCTCCTCCGTTGGGGACTTCAACTGGAAGTACAAAAAAATGCTTTAATACACTTTAGAATATCTGAGTTCATTTACATCGAACGGAAGTTGCGTGGCGTATCATCGTCACTGTCGTTTAACGCTAAAACAGGCAAAATATGTTTATTGTAATATTGAACCTTTTACACCTAGCGCACTAATGTATAATCGGTTATCGTCTTTTGCCGATAACATTGTTAAAAACCAACGCAGGAAAAGCATCCTATTCTCCTTGGAAAAATAGTATCCTAGAGATTCCTAGTAGTACCAAAGTCTTCATTTAAGACTAATGATTAACAAAACTGTCCCCTATGACTTAATACCATCTGGTAAAATTATAATAGAATAGTCATCAAGTCAAAATCATCATTACCATCGCTCTTTAGCTCAAAAGCCCCAACCTGTCCATAGTACACACATACAAAAATATATTGTCCATACGTTTGTCATGTTTTACCTCAAATAATCGCAGTTATTACCGAAATGGTGATGGCATTCATAATGACTAACATGGGGCCAGTCATAAAGAAGCTATCCTCTCGTTTGGATCCGCTAATGACCCGCATTGACAAATCGTTCACCTTCGCCCACGTAACTGATGCAAGGGATAAGAGGAAGCGGAAAAACACAAATCATCCCTAGCCTGTTGATGAATATGAACCTTTTCTCTAACAAGGCAGTTTGCCATAATCAAAGTCAAAGTCAAAAGTCAAAATCATTTATTTCAATTACACCAGAACGGCACTTTCGAACGTCAACAAAAAAAAAATTAAAAGTTAAGATATTTTCTTATTTCAAGGTGTAGATTCCTATGGAGAAGAACGAGCAAGAAACTCCATAGATTACTCTTTTTCAATAAAAAAAAAAATACAATTCTCTAATTACATAGTTTTGTTGTGGTTCCTCAGGCATGACAACAGGTCTCCAAAACTATTGGTGACGCTGCTGAAGGTCTTTTCATTGTATGTTGGTTAGTTTTTGGCTTACTCTACGGAATATTAAATACGTTCATGGCGTGGCCCCTATATTACAGATTTTTCAGGCTACATTCCATCCTCTACTTCCTTTACGCGTCGTAAACTCAGTGGTACAAAAACGACTTTAATTTATTATAGTTTTCGCAAGTTACTTTAATATATATGGTAAAATATCATGTTACAATTACAGCTTATTTTCAGCAATATGACTATCGCTACCTTTTCTTATTTACACCACACAAACCAAAATAAAAAGACCTCTAACGTTACATAAAAAATCCCTAATTCGTTTCACAATTTCCGAGCCAAAGTAAGCGGGGAGGTCATTCAATATTGGTCGCTCTCTCATTTCGTACTCAGATAGAAATTCTTATATTACATTTACATTAAATATTAGATTTGAAACTTAATGACTTCGCGATAAAGTTGCAAATCATTCGGCAGAGAATTTTTATGATTTGCGTTTGTGAAAAAATAAAGGAGTGTTTTGGTATTTCAGCTTTTGACGGGCAATGAAGCGTGGCCAGGTGTTAGCAACCTTTTGGAATTATAATTAGTTATTTAAGGCATTGGCTGCCAATAAAAAACTGTTGAAGGCAAATCCTCCGCTAATGTCGGTCACCAGTGACTGCCATGGCGTTTAACGTGTTAAAGTTATGTTATACGATATTATAGGGTTGGATGATCCTAATATAATTTTATAAGACTGTGGGCATCAGCTGTCATCATGAATCATTGTCAGTCGACATTGTAATCTTAATACACTTTGTAGGTTATATTTGATTGTATCTCTGATAGATAGTAGTAACTACCTCTATTCCACTATTTATTGTTTATTTTTTAATAATTTCATATCAAATGCCTACGAAAATTCAGTAGATATACTACGTCAAACACTTTTAAAAACTTAAACCCCATCTTTTTTATGTCGGTTAATGAATATATTAAAACCTTCTCCGAAATATAACAAACACTTTTCTGAAAACCATATCAACATCGGTTCAACCAATCGCAAGATAATCCTGCCCGAACTGCAATCTTCCTTTTTCGTAATTCATTAAAAATTAATATAGTCTAAACTACAATTCCTTATACTTTCTTATACCCCTTGTATTTAAAGTCATCACAAAACAACCGCACATTTTTTTTCCACAGATAATAAAAGTTTACAAGTTGGCGGGAAATCGTGGACGTAACAGACACTCCACGTGGTTTACAAGTACAGTTTGTTACTAGGCCGACTATGTATTACATAACAATATAACTGAGATTTTTTTAAATGTGGATGAGTCGCCGTTCAGCTAAATACATTTAGAAAGTAAAGTAAATAGTTAATTTCATATTTCTTTTTACAAAACAATGTTCAAATTTAGTTTGAACATTGTTTTGTTTGCTATGTTTTTTACAGATAAAATTAACGTTTCAATTTTCTAAATTTTCTTTTTTACTTTTATATATCCGGTACGACTGCAAAAGATTGTTATATTCGATATGCGGGTCAACGTGTTGTAGAAACAAAACTATTGCGTCTGAACGCCACACCGCGACACACGAGTAGCTACACAAACCAATCTCACCAGTCATTAAACCCCGAAATACCTACAGACGAAGCACAAAAGTACATAATAAAACACAAATAATACACTATAAAAACGTACGCCCACATTTACACTTAAGACCCTAGGTCTTTTAGGTCTAACTTAGGTCGCTGGCCGGTCATCGCCCGCGCATTTTGGCGCACTCTTATTTTTTTTACGTCCCCCCCTCCCCGGCCTCGCCGCAGCCTCCCAATCGAGTTGCAGTTTTTAGATGCACCTACTTGAGTCGTATGACTATCTAACGACCGGAACAGGAGATGGTGTGGAGTAGATGTAGAGCGTATCTTTTTTAAGTGGATATCTGCTTCTGAATCTATTGGTCAAACTTTGTATGTAATCCTAGCCAATAAATAAACAAATAAATACTTTTACAAAAAAATTCCATGATTTTAAAATAAAATTAATTTGAAATTGGAATTCTTAAACAAACAAAAATTATTTTGATATTAAATGGCCAGTACTGCAGAGCAGCAATTTTATATGTAGACCTTTTATTATTATGTAGTAGGTAGTAGTAGTATCATAATAAAATAAAATTGTAATTATAAGGTTAACTATTAAGCACCACTTACTCCCTAGTAAAAAACTCTACCTACCAACTTTTTATTATTTTTTGAATTTGAAGGAAGAATACTTTAACGGTTTTCCATGTCACAATCGTAGGCGAGAGCTAATTCTTTGAAAACACCTAACCCAAAAAATATTTACAACAAAAGTCGTGTCCAATGCACTCGAATGCGCGCACGCATTCATCGAGAAGTGCGTTGCACTATAGCGAGCCAGTTTGACTAGATTTTTGGCAACGAGCGGCGCATGCGCTCTCCCCCTCCCCCTCTCCTAACCGTACCACCCCCGCAACGCTCCACATGCTCTTACGACTTTCTGATGGCTTTTGAAAGAGATGAAAGATAATTTCAATAATTAGGTTTTGAAATCTTAGCTTTTTGATAAATCAGTTCTTAATCACATGAAAGCCAATCAAAAGGCTTACGTTAATACTAAATTAAACACATAGACTTGACTGTAATGCAACTGTGATCTCATAATATGTACATAGTACCATTGATCACCATTACTTATTCAACACGTATGAGTGACATAACTGGAGGCCTAACCTCCCCCCCCCCTTTACCATTTAAAATGCATTTGAAACTCCTCCAGTATTACGGCAGTCCAAGGGCAGCATTAATCACTTACCATCAGGTGATCCGTCTGCACATTTGCCCCCAACCACATAAAAAAGTCCAATTCAGGAGTCTCCAGGACCTCAAACGCAGCAGTCGACCCTCCAAGCTCTAATGGTTGGAGGGTCGACTCGTACAAACATAACCATGTTAGATTGCAAAGATATGCATGTTTTATACCTTCTCCACTGCTTACCATCAAGATAAGGTCGACCTTACAGTGGGTGCGAGGTTTTACAACTCTTTTACAACTTACACGGAGATGTATTTGAGATTTTGCGTCGGTTGTAAACTCTCCAAAATATGTGTTAACCTCAAAATGTGGTAGTCATGTCTGTTTTTTTAATTTTTATTGAAGTGAATTACTGTTAGAGCATAACATAACTTCACGCCTTTTATCAGGGGATAAAGGATAGCAGAGGTGCCCATTACATCATGTAACACCCAATTTTCACTATTTATTCTATGAGTCCCATGTAATAGTGGGTGAGCCTGTTGTCATATACCGGGCACAATTTCAGACACCGTACTCCTATTGAGATTAAAAAAAAACTGAAATACTTTGCCCTTTTTTTTAAGGGGGAAAATCATCGAATGACTGCTCCCGCCTGGGTGAGGCGGGAGGGAGTGTCAGACTCTTACTGACTAAAAACCACCCCGTTCCTTCTCCTGCATGTCGAGTCGGAGCCCCAGTTACCCGATAGGTTCTCCGCGACAAATACTTTGCCCTACCTGGGAATCGAACTCGAGAGCCGTTGTCCGGCATTCTACTGTTAAAGATAGCCTATAAAAAGGCTGAAGTTCGATTTTCATACCTTTAGAAGGTATGAACTTCGATCACAACAATATTTCTACGCATCCTAAGTAGTATCTCACACTTTCCAAAGCACCTACAACAAATAGTTCGGCTTTACCAGCCAATCAAATAGTTCACAAGATTTTTAGTTGACGTTGCTAGTTTTTATAATGTTGTCCCAACTGCCTAAACTCATACACAAAGTTGACGCAATTGTGAATACCGAACAACATGTCAAATACTACAATTCATTAAAAAAAAATGTGCTATTGTGTATTGTGTATTCAAAGTCAAAGTCAAAATCATTTATTTCAATTAGACCGGAAAGGCCATTTTAATCGACTACAAAAAAAATAAAATTAAAGCTATTTGCTCATTTCAAGGTGTTTCCTTCTTTCCTTTAGAGAATTCCTATGGAGAAGAACGAGCAAAAAACTCCATAGGTTAC